TACACTCGAATCTAAGCGACTCGGCAACCCAGCCACTTTGCGCGGCGGCGTCGCTCGCCACGACCCACAGCGCGACATATTACGATTGTACTGCCACATACCCACTTTCAGCACCTACCTCTTTGATCACCGGAATCCGCGAAGCATCATTTGAGCCTATGACACGGAAGAATCGCTGCGCAAACAGTGTCGCGTCCACATTTGAACCACCATCCATGACATGTGCCAGATGCTGATCGAACACTTGTGTTTGCACTAGCTGGTGTTTCAATAGCACCTAAAAGGGTGCGATTTCCCAAAAGCATAAGAAATCCTCGATGGCCACACTTCTTTACTGTCCAGAAACTCACTTCAATCGCTTCCACATTCCATTTGTAATCCATTCGCACGTTCACAATGCTACCAGTAATTCGTCTCGACAAGTCTACCAACGTGAACTGGGTCAGTAACACTCGACAGACACCGAGAAACAAATCGCGAAGGCGTCTTGCCCACTCGACATCAAGGGCTGAAAGCATGATCGACCAGTTGTGTTCATTTTGAATTCACGTCTTTTCAAATCTAATTCATGACTTGGTTAAACACACCAGACTGAATACCACTGCAGGCCATGCCCCTCCACACGCCTAATTTGCGCATTTTCGCGAAATTCTTACATTTTTTTGATTGCTATGGGCCGGACTGCCCACCTTGGAGAAGCTCCTCCCGTTCAGCAGAAGCCCCGCCCATTTCCGCGGAGCGCTTCAATTTAGCAATTTAGTAATGATTTTTTAGGTCTGTTAATTGCGCTGAGGCTGCGTCAGACTTCGCAACGCGCGTCGTCGGGCTACCATCGCGATGGCACTCCAATGTGGCGCAGTTTGCCGACGAGGGGAGGGGGGCATTTTGCACTTTCGTTGCTTCACTAGTTCTGGTTTACAAGTCTCACTCTGTGAAACCTGGAGCAAGCTCGTCAAGCCATCATGGTAAAACCTGTCAACTCGAGAAGAGGCTGTCTAGATGGGTCGACACGTCGATGGGAAGTCGTTAAAGTGCAAAGTGCCCCCCCTTGCCAAACAGCGCCCTCCTATGCTATAGACTGGTACGCAGCTATGCGAGCGTATCGATTGGTGCAGCCCGCTAGTTTTCGGGAGAGCACAAGAGAATAGGAGAGCACCAGACTAAGTGCGCTAGTGTTTTGGAGAGTGTAGGACAATAGGAGGGTCCGTAACAGCCTCGCACCTTCCTATTCTTCTGCACTCTCCCAAGACACTAGCGCAAGTCTGGTACCCTATCATTCGCCTACACTCTTTCAAAACACTACCTGCCGGCACCAATAACCCGTCTACGGCTGCGGTCCCGTCTCTAATACTGGAGTGCCATTGCAACGGCAGCGCGACGCCGCGGAGT